GTTCATCGAAAGCTCCCTGGCCTTCCTAGCTCGGACGCTGCAAGGGAGCCTGAGGAGCAGCAACCAAACGGCCTAGACCTGGTACTCACGAAGTCGCTGGACAACATCGACGAGTGAAAATCTCTACCTCCTCTAGGTTGAAGCGATCACGTCGTACTTCATTGGGACTATTCAATATTCTCGGTACCTAAACAAACCACTACGGTTAAAAGGAATGTTTGGCGTGGTAACTTTGATCAAATTAGGGCCGAAATTAACAATATAAACTGGGAATCGGCTTTTTTCCGGACATATAATCGATGATTGGGAATGCTTGAGTGAGTTATTGCATACTCTCCCCAGAAACGACTGTCCGATTTCACGGGAGAAACTAAAAAAGCAGACCCCAGTGACTGACTCAAGCGCTAAAGACTCAATCAGCCTTACTTCGATATGTTACAAAATTATGGAAAAAGTAGTAAAGCGAGAGCTGATGTGTTTTCTAGAGCAGCATAACCTACTACCAGATGCCTAGCATGGATTCTGCAGAGGCAGGTCCTGCGTGACGAACGTGCTCTATTGTTTGAAACGTTGGACCCAGGCAGTTAATGAAGGAAATCAGCTTCATGTAGTATACATTGACTTCAAGAAGACGTTTGATAGTGTCCCACATCAACGACTTTTGCACAGACTCAGCCAAGTAGATGTTAGAGGAAATCTGCTGAAGTGGATTCGAGGCTTCCTACTAGGCCGCTCTCAAACTGCCACATCGGTGACCAGCAGTCAGCAGAGGTTGCTGTCGACAGCGGTGTTTCCCAAGGCTCTGTCCTTGGCCCTATAGTGCTCATTATGTACGTCAACAACTGCGCCCGTGAACTGGACTGTGAAGTTGCTATGTTTGCTGATGATATAAGGATTTGGAAAGTCATCAGAAATGTAGCCGACGAAGAGCGTTTACAGATAAACCTAAACCGACTTCAAACTTGGTCTAAAGACTGGCTTTTGCCGTTTAATGAGAATAATTGCAGTATCCTATGAGTAGGCCGACCCAGCTCTCAGAATCTAGTGGTTTACAGCCTGAATGGCATCCAACTGCAAGAAGTGAACGCACAGAAAAAATTAGGATTGTGGATAGCGACGTCGCTTAAGCCCTCGCTGCACTGAGTAAAAGTAGCTTACTCTGCGATGTCCGTCCTTTACCTTGTCAAAGGGCTTTCTGTACCTTTCATATAGACTGCTTTGCTAAGGTCTTTGGAATATCTGTGCGGCCGAAACTGGAGTTCACTATCCAAGCATGGAGACCCTGGACCGCAAAAGACCTCAGTTCCTCGAGGAGATTCAAAGGCGTGCAACTAAACTTGTGACCAGACAGGGCTTCTCCTGTTTTCATCACGTTGATGACGGCCTTGGAAATTGGCAAGGGCCTATCGTGGTCGCAGTTCCTGTTCTTTGGGATGTTCCCGTGACTCTGCAGTCTCCTCATCGTATGGTACTTCCGATCAAGGTATAAATCGCGGTGGACTCCCTGGCTTGCCGCCAACATCAACATCAGCATACTGGCCCTATTTTTCACATAGTTTCCTCCCACGATCGACAGTTTTTCTCCTAAAAAACGCAAATTACATTCCATTTTTTGAATTCTGAGCCATGCCTTAACAGTTTTTTCACTGTCATCTCTTTTCGCTCAGTTACACCTGCTGGATCGTGTTAACTTACATGACCCCATCTGGTTATATTACTTGGAAGAAGTGAGTAGTCATCTACAATTATGCAAACGACTTTTTTTTAATGTTCGGTTTGCCGAAGCATTTCTTAACTACTGTGTACCTATCGGGATTATAAAGGCGTTTGCCTACATCTCCCTTAATAAACTTGACTTGGCTTGTTTGGGAGTACGGCCATTTATCGGTACCCATCGCTCACGCAATAAGTGAGAGAAGTGCATGGAAAGGGGATCACACTAAAATTAAAGGACTATTTAACGAGACTGACTGGAGCCCTGCATACGTACCAGACCCGAACAATGCCCAGCGCTTCTTTAGGAAGTTAACTCAACAATAGGTAAAGAAATCTTGCCCGCTTCAGAAAAGCTTTCGCGTCTCCCGGCCGGAATGGCTGACACCGATCATAAGGAGGAATATCACGAAGAAAAGAAGACTGTGGAAAACATATGCCAGATATCCACAACCTGAACACTTCTCTGAATTTAAGAAACAGTGAAACACATTAGGTTACCTAACTCGTGAAATCCAAGGATTTTTACAAAGTAACTCCCTGTTACTCAAACGCAGGCCAAGCTGCGGCCCCCCAGAGTCTTACAGCAATAAAGTAATGGTCGTTTTTCATAATAGGGCATATTGTGATTTATGAAGGAATATAAAGTTTTATAGAAATACTAGCTTTTTAGCAAAGTGGAAAATTCCGAAAAAGTGGAAATCGGGCGTACACTTTTATTATTTTGAGATTTTTGAGATTTTGAGGCTCAGATCTTCCTTGAAATGCTAAATAAGACTTTATGATTTTCACTGGCTTCAGTCGACTGACCATAAATAATGAATTTATTCTACAGTAGGTTCACTAACTCATGAAATCCGTGATTTTTACAAGTAACTCCGTGTTACTCAAACGCAACCGAAGCTGCGGCCCCAAAAGTCTTTCAACAATAAACGAATAGTCATTCTTCACAATAGGGCATGTTGTTATTTATGAAGGAATATAACGTTTAATAGAAATAAAGCTTTTTTAGCAAAGTGGAAATTTCCGAAAAAGTGGAAATCGGGCGTACTAGGTTAAATTAAGTTCTTCTTGTAGAGGATGTCTGTTTATACAAAACCACCGAGTTAATATAGCAGGAAA